TCTCAAGATGAATGAAGCCCCAAGTGGTTCGTGGACGTCAAAGATACGTAATACTGAACCTTAAAGTTGGTGCCAAACTCAACACAGTTCGGACAAACAGGGTATCTGTCTCAAAGTTCTGTAAATGTCTATTAATCCCGAGCTACTTTGCTTGAGTGCTTAGCAGAAATGAAGAAAGGGAATGCTGAAAGTAGGCGGCATAAAGAAAATATACAGTCACGTGCAGCACCGTGAAGTGGAGAAACTCTAGGTCCACATAATTTTAGCATTTTCAGGTGCGTACCTCTTACACCTGAATTTGTTTGTACGTGTGTACGGTTTCGTTTAATTGAATAACCACTTTTCCGCGAGCTTTGCTGCCATAGTGAAGCGATCTCTGGTATGACTGATTTGAGAGTAAACGTGAGGTTTACAGGCGCTAAACGCCATCTTTCAATTTCAGCACTACGTTGTGAAGAACCAATTTCTCAATCATCGAGTTGCTGGAAGAACAAGTTTGGCTGGCACATTTGGCGAAGTATACTTTCTACGCAAGTAGATCTCCGGCTACTGCTGAAGAAGGCTACCGGGCTTTTTATAAGTCTGTATCACACTTTCCTGTATTGTCATGCTTACACTTTTTATTCATTTTTGTCTATGAGCGTGGTTTATAGTAGTTTAGTTGCTACTCTCTAGGATTTGCGTTATATTTTTAACAGGTTTTATTCGTTTTCTAGGCATTTATGGTAGTTAGTCACCACAAAACTGAAAGAGAACATGAAGAGCGGGACACAACTTAGTAGAAGACTTAGGAAGATAAAGCGCACAGGATAAATGAACAAAGATGGAAACTTACCCTACTTCTAGTTTGAAAACGTGTAGTACTCTGAAGAATGTATGCGTGATTTTGTACCAGTTACCCTATATTCCTAGGCATCGGTATCATCGGCCCTTCCTAAATTATTTCTCATGGGCGTAATTGGCTTTCGCTTGACATTCTGACTTTGCTGCCATATAATCTAACTAGTGTACCCAATAAAGGACCCGCCGGCAACAGATAATGCAACAGATAATGCCGGCTGAAGATAATGCTGCTAAAGCAGCAGCCCGCAGTCTGCTAACCCTTTAGC